AAGGAAGATGAAGAAAGAAGAAAGATGTGTGGAGTGGCTCGTGCTTTCAAACAAGATATGAATCGTACAAGGAAGATGAAGAAAGAAGAAAGATGTGTGAAGTGGCTCGTGCTTTCAAACAAGAGATGAATCGCACAAGAAATAAACCATACAAAACCCTTGATGAGACGCGACGCGAGACAAATCATGGAAAAACGGGAGAGATGGTGTGTGGAGCCGTTCTTGCGTTGGAAGAAAATGAGCTTGTTTCAGGTGGTGGTTGTGAAAGACCGACAGTAGAGCTGTTCGCTTTTTTCAAACAAGATGGCACGTGCATTCAAACAAGATGACACGTGCTTTCAAACAAGATGGCTCGTGCTTTCAAACAAGATGGCTAGTGCTTTCAAACAAAATGGTGGTTCTAAAAAGCCGACACAAACAATGTGCTGACAAAAAAAGAAAAGACCGGCGATAAGGACACAAATAGCGATGTTCAAACAATGTGTCGGCAAATAGAAAAGGTCGTCTTTTAGTGTGACCTCACACAACAGTACATAAATGAAGGTGACATAAAGCGGAACTAAAGCAAAAAAGACAGTTCGGTACTTGGTAGGAGCTGCGGAGCCCTTGCCGCCGGTTGCTGTGAAGTGGACGAGTGTTGCCGTTTTTTCTCGGTCGGCAATGACATGCAGATGGCCCGATGCAAAACAAATCGCGGAAAGGCGAAACAAACCGCAGAAAGGCTCGAAGGTGCACTTGCCACGAAGTGTCGAGCTCTGCCTTGCTCAACCAGACCCTCCGAACACTCCACCGAGCTACAGAAAGCCTGGGAAACAACGTGCATGTGGCGCGCGCGGGGGCTGACAGAGAGAGAGAGAGAGAGAGAGTACACTGCAGTGCGAAATGGCGAGCTGAAGTCTAGCGCTGGTCGCGTGGAAGAGTAGCGGCTGTTGTGCACAGAAACGAAATCTCGACACGAAATGAGGAACACGCCTGACCCCTCTCAACTTCCGAACGCTTTTCCAGATCCCGACGCCTTCCATCAACACTCGCTGGGACCACAGTGCTATTCAACACTGCTGAACGGGATTTCCGAAGGAACCAGGCTTGTTCGTAGAAAAGCAAAGACGGGCAGGTACAGGCCCGAATCACAATTCCCGGGTTTCGCATTCCGGGCCTGTTCGTTGAGGAGAAAAGTCAGGTAGGTGCAGGCCCAAGTCGAATTTCCGGGGTTTCTGGCCTGGGCTGTTTTTTTTTTTTTTTTCTTGTTGGTACCGGCCTGGGAAGAAACGCCAGCGGTACTGGGTGCCGATCTGCTCTATGTGTGTGTACGGTCGCTGCTATCTGCTTTACCGGAAACGGGCGCCGCCATTGCAGCAACCTCGTACCGAAGGCGCCATCATCTCTCTAGCCAACAGAGGTACAGTCTCCTCCCACTCCTACTCCTCCTCCACCTCCTCCTCCTCCTTCCCCTTCACCATTATCTTCCTCCTCCTCCTCCACATTTTCCATCGCAAACTTTTTCCTCTTCCTCTCCTCCTCCTCCTCTTCCTCCTTCCTCATTGCCATCTTCTTCCTCCTCCTCTCCTCCTCCTCTTCCTCCTCCTCTCCTCCTCCTCTCCTCCTCCTCCTCCTCCTCTTCCTCCTTCCCCATGGCCAGCTTCTTCCTCCTCCTACACCTCCTTCCCTATCACAATCATTTAACTCCTCTCCTCCTTCTTCTCCTCCTCTTCCTCGTTCCCCATCGCCATATTCTTCCTTCTCTTACACCTCCTTCCCCATCGCGATTTTTTTCCTCCTCCTCCTTCTCCTCCTCCTCCTCCTCCTCTCCCTCTTTCCCCATCGCCATCTTTTCCCTCCTCCTACACCTCCTTTCCTATCGCGATCTTTTTCCTCCTCCTCCTCCTCCTCTTCCTCCTTCCCCATCGCCATATTCTTCCTCCTCCTACACCTCCTTCCCCAACGCGATCTTTTTCCTCCTCCTCTTCCTCCTTCCCCATCACGATCTTTTTCCTCCTCCTCTTCCTCTTTCCCCATCGCGACCTTTTTCCTCTTCCTCTCCTCCTCCTCCTCCTCCTCTTCCTCCTTTCCCATCGACATCTTCTCCCTCCTCCTACACCTCCTTCCCTATCACGATCTTTTAACTCCTCCTCTCCTCCTCCTCCTCCTCCTCTTCCTCCTTCCGCATCGCCATATTCTTCCTCCTCTTACACCTCCTTCCCCATCACGATCTTTTTCCTCCTCCTCTTCCTACTTCCCCATCACGATCTTTTTCCTCCTCTTCTTCCTCCTTCCTCATCACGATCTTTTTCCTCCTCCTCGTCCTCCTTCCCCATCACCATGTTCTTCCTCTTCCTCTTCCTACTTCCCCATCGCCATCTTCTTCCTCCTCCTACACCTCCTTCCCTATCGCGATCTTTTAACTCCTCCTCTCCTCCCCCTCCTTCTCCTCTTCCTCCTTCCCCATCGTCATCTTCTTCCTCCAGCTACACCTCCTTCCCTATCACGATCTTTTAACTCCTCCTCTCCTCCTCCTCCTCCTCCTCCTCTTCCTCGTTCCCGATCACTATATTCTTCCTCCTCCTACACCTCCTTCCCCATCGCGATTTTTTTCCTCCTCCTCCTCCTCCTCCACCTCCTCCTCTTCCTCCTTCCCCATTGCCATCTTCTTCCTCCTCCAACACCTCCTTCCCCATCGCGATCTTTTTCCTCCTCCTCTCCTCCTCGTCCTCCTCCTCTTCCTCCTTCCCCATCGCCATATTCTTCCTCCTCCTACATCTCCTTCCCCAACGCGATCTTTTTCCCTCTCCTCTTCCTCCTTCCCCATCACGATCTTTTTCCTCCTCCTCTTCCTCTTTCCCCATCGCGATCTTTTTCCTCGTCCTCTCCTCCTCCTCCTCCTCCTCTTCCTCCTTCCCCATCGCCATCTTCTCTCTCCTCCTACACCTCCTTCCCTATCGCGATCTTTTACCTTCTCCTCTCCTCCTCCTCCTCCGCCTCTTCCTCCCTCCCCATCGCCATACTCTTCCTCCTCCTACACCTCCTTCCCCATTGCGATATTTTTCCTCCTCTTTCTCCTTCCCCATCGCGATCTTTTTCCTCCTCCTCTTCCTTCTTCCTCATCGCGATTTTTTTCCTCCTCCTCTTCCTCCTTCCCCATCACCGTGTTCTTCCTCCTCCTCTTCCTCCTTCCCCATCGCCATCTTCTTCCTCCTCATACACCTCCTTCCCTATCGCAATCTTTTAACTCCTCCTCTCCTCCTCCTCCTTCTCCTCTTCCTCCTTCCCCATCGCCATATTTTTCCTCCTCCTACACCTCCTTCCCCATCGCGATCTTTTTCCTTCTCCTCTTCCTCCTTCCCCATCGCGATCTTTTTCCTCCTCCTTTTCCTCCTTCCTCATCGCGATCTTTTTCCTCCTCTTCCTCCTTCCCCATCGCCATGTTCTTCCTCCTCCTCTTCCTCCTTCCCCATCGCCATCTTCTTCCTCCTCCTAC